AAACAAAATAATAATTTGATCTAAGTAAGTAGTTTTTTTCTTTCCGATTTGTAAAAGCTCCTTTCGTGATAGAAAAAAAAATAATATTCGTTTCGAAATCTGCGTAGCTGAATTATGGAAAATCCGTTGTTAAAATCAAAGCAACTTTTATGAACTTTAAGTTGGCAGGCCTGTGTTATTTGAAATATATTTGTACCCTATACATATTTTTCGCTATAATTGTAACTGCTTGTTAAATATGTTAAAAAAAAACTTAACTGTTCTAACTGATAACTCTTTCTTAAACATGTAACTTGATAAAACTTAACATCATATATCACTGTAGTTAATAATTCTCCTTGACATAAACTGAATGTATTATATCATTGTATACCATAATTATCTTTGACACACAACGCTTGGTATGAATGGTATCTGTTATATCATTGTATAAAATAATTATTATTCAGCTAACATTCAATGAACCTACAAAAGGTGATATGGAGGGTTAATCAAACTTTATATAAACAATTTAGGATAATGGATTTTAGTGGCATTTCGCCGCAGATACAAGCAGTGGCACCATGGACGCCATGGTTTCCATCTAAATATTTGGTTTATGGCAAACTTCCAACTGTTCGACAATACAATGTCTGCACGGATATGCCTTTCCATGTTTTTGTAACATATTGAGCTTAAATACATAGAAACAAAAAGAAAAATAAGTAGTTCGTTTAGAACAAAGATAATTATCATTGGTAAAAGATAGAGGCTTAAACAACAGATATGTCCAATAGATATTATAATTGATATCAAATTAAGCCTTTGGAATTTAGAAATTGCTTTGTTGAGTTTATCGTCATAATTTCTGTTATTGTTTCACATTTTTAAATATTGGGTAAAAGTAATCAAGGATAAAAAGCAACGTAAGGAGTGCGGAAGGAAATGCGTAGGAAATTGTTTTTCAAAATGTGTCATTAAATTCAATCAAAAATTGAATAAAAAGAAAAACAGAAAAGAAAAAGGCAGAATAAAAACACATGTTTAAAGTAAATAAAACCACTGAATAAACGGAATTTCATTCTTTATTATCTACTTTGTAACATGCATAAGATGATTTATTTAGCTATGACCGTAATAGATTGTTGAATTTACAAGACTCAAGTTTCAGAAAATGAAAATATAGATGAATAAAATTGCTTTAAATCTTTTTATACGGAGATTACATTGTCAATAATGGATAGTCTACATACAGTTTGAAATATTTAAAGTTGAAATTGACGCCAGTGAAGCATGGTACAATGATTTCGACACATAACTATTACAATATGAAGTGGATTTGGCGTTTCAGGGAAAAAAATGAAAGCCGAAATATTGGAAAGTGTTCAAGGACGTGGTATGAATTTTCGATTTTTTATCCAAGTGGAAGATTAAGTCCCTAGAAAGCGTTAATGATTATCAATTCCACATTTCTTTTCTTACACTACATCGTGTAGATTTTTGATGAAAGCGCACGTAATGATATAATTTCAAGTCGGTACGAATAAATATGTATGCGCAGAAACAAAAAGGGCAAAAAGAAATCCAGATATTATGTTATGTTTTAATAACAATTTTATAAACACGGAACTAAAATCGACAAGGAACGTCCTGAAATATGTTCAAATAGGACCAAAGTACACCGAAAATTATAGATGATGCAACAAAAATGATTATTCTCTACCTGGGATGAACTTTAAAATCTATATATATAAGATAGCATGGTAACCAATGTAAAAAAATGTCAATCCACTAGGAGGCGTTTGAAAGCTAATCTTTGTAGTGGTTTCCTTCCTAAAAAGAGGGTGAGGATTGACATTTGGTAAAGCTCTGGATTCCTGAGGTGGTGAGCAGGGTTTCGAATCCGTGCGATACTACTAAATATTCTCCATACTTTAAGCTGTGGGTGCATTATAAGAGTGACAGACAATTCCGTTTTCTGTATGATGAGTGGTGCTGCTGCTCCCTTCTAGTCACTGGTTCAAAATAAGGGACGACAGCCTTAGTAGCTGTACCATAAATACATAATATAAAAAATGCTATACCTAAATAACTGTTATTTTCATGAAGAACTAAAGCAAAGGAGAAGACATGTTTGTTTGTTGTTACAAATCTACTTAATGATCTATCTGTGCTTTGGCCCCCATGGGTATCGAAATCAGATTTTAGTGTTATAAGCCTTCAGACTTACTGTTAAACTACTAGGAGGAGGGCTTAAAATGGCTAATATTCTCAAACACAATGAAAATTAATGTAGTTTATACTTCAATTAAACACAAGAAATATTGTTGAAAAAATAATCAGTGGATAAACTGAAATAATTTGCATCACAGCTGAACCGCAAATGTTAAATATTTTATACAAAAATGAATAAGCCTTCAGGAAGTTTGTGTGTTAGCACATAGCTAAACAAAGGGCTATCTGTGCTTTACCTACCACGGGTGTCGAAACCAGGTTTCTAATATTTTACTTCCGCTGGGGGACTGGAGAAATAAAAGGTATTCTAATGTTTGTTTTTGATAACAGCAGTTAACAATTCTTAATAAATTTACAATCCCACATCTTCTTCATTTAACACTTAATTCAATATCGAGAATAATCTATTTATCGTTTTCGGCAAAATATGCTTCATCAATTAGAAAAAGAACATCTATAATTTTGTTCACATGACGCCAGGTTAAAATGACGCACGTTATTTCTTTCTCCAGTTTCTTTGAAAAATAGACCTTGACATTCTCAAGCATGTTTTATACGAGGTTTGAAGAAGAAAAATTTCCTGCAACTACTACTTTTTCAAAAAGATAGGAAGTGCTATTTCAAACACTCGACGAACTTCACCTAAAACAACAAAAGAATGTGTAACCTTTAGTTCTCCTGTAATTTACTCAGAACCAGTTTTCATGGAGTAGAATGTATCGATCAAAGCGTACTTAAGATTTTCAGGAACGTACGGTTGCCATTATAATTGAAAATAATAATAGATGGAAAAAATAACAAAGATCAGATTAATGTTGCTATCTTCTAAAGATTTTTCTCTCTTACTTAGTAAAGCTTTGTGGTTAGTGTAGCGGATTGGAAGGTCAAGGTTCGAGAAGAGAAATGCCGCTAAATATACTCATAATTTTAGCTGTAGGAACATTTTGTTATTGAGTTATGAATAGAGGTATCGGCGGGCTATACTACTGAACGGTTGCCTTCTGTCTAGTCAGTTCAAAATTAGAAATGGCTCTGATTGAAACTTGGGTTAGGAACTTAGAAGATGTGTCGCATAAGGTGTCGCTCAGGTTATTCAAGACACACAGTAATATGTCGTGCGGCCAAATTTCCGTACTTTTGGTGAGTAGAGAAAAAAATGGGAAGAAATTCGATCAAAATTGGATATTTTACATATCGTGTATTTCTTAATGGATTCCCTTGAAATTTGGTATGTGAAGTAAGGATCTAGTAGAGCAGATCATCGGAAAATGGATCTAGTAGAGCAGATCATCGGAAAATATGTAATAGTTTGGATTACCACAGTCCGAGCTATAACAAGTGGAAAATTGCTGTAATACCACACATTGTGTCCTGTAGGTTGTTCTTTATTTGATAGAAAAACATATTTAACTTCATGAGTTTCTTTTTCAAATATGGTACACTGATAGATCTTTACAACCAGAATTAGCTGTTAAATTTGGTCCAAATATAAGACACATGTGTAAAATTATTCAACAATAAACGCTCAATTTTGATCAAACATTTCGCACACGCCTATACAAAAAGTAACGCGAGTTATCGATCTGACATTTGTCTACAGTTTCACCTAATATTAAAGGTGGACCATTTTTAGTTTTTGTCATTCGAATTAAAGACAGCTGTTTTAGAGCAACAAGACTATAGGGTGAAAGCACGTGCAGATACATAAGTAAATAAACTGTTAATCTAGTTTCCATGGCGTTACTATAAATGAAATTATTAACACTGATTTAGAGAGGAAAATCTACAACCATATATTTTAAAGAATCTGGTTTGTTCTGTAAAGTAAAGGTCTGTTCCGAATAATAGGGTTGCGATCCTAACGCTAATATTGAATTTCACTTTCCTATTTGGTGTGGTTTGTTGGTGTATATTGACAAAAAGGCATGATATCTAATCAAAAACATCTTAGGTGTGAAAAACGGTTGCGGTCGAAAAAGGATTGAGTGTGTAACTTAAATGAAGGAAATCAAAATTGGAGTTAAAAAGTGGAGGCTACACTTATAGCATTGATTAGAACTTTACAGTAAATATTCATTCATTAGTTAGCTAGGCCGTGTAAGTTGAACAAAAATTGTGGCCTAGCTAACTAATGAATGAATATTTGCTGTAAAATTCTTATCAATACTGTTAATGTGGCCTCCAGTTTGACCGTCAATTTTCGTTTCATTCCTTTAAGTCGCACGCCGAATCTTTTTTGGTCGCACCTTTTTTTTCACACCTAAGGTGTTTTTGGTTAGATAATACATAGGCGGAGAATCAAAGAAGCGTTAATCTCCCTGGTTTACGTCTGGTAGAGGCAGTTGAATGCCTGTTAATTATTTTATGGTTGTCATACACTGTATACGTATGCTTGCGTAATAACAATACCAATGATCAACCTTGGTAGACCTAGAAAATCTTCTCAAAAACAAACAGCAACAGAAATAATAAGTACACAGTAATGCTATTAGATATATTATCATTATTTTGTAATATTAGAACGAAGAGATAACGCATAAGAGTAACTAGTATATTTGACTATTAATATTCGGTGAATTTCTTAAAATTTAGGTATTAGATAATGATGGTTATATTATTTTATATAACCCAACAAATGTTAATTTCAACCTCATCACATATTTCAGTGAGGTCGCTAATATTAATATTATTTGGAATTATTGATCCAATCTTATATTTCAAAGCTTAGAAAACCAAGTATCTGTCAGCAAAATGAACTGCTAAGAAATGGATCTGGACAAAATTTTAGTGTTTGAACAAACTCATTTTATCAGAAAAGCAACAAATGAAAACAATATTTAGAAATATTTCACAAATTCCCATATCATTTTTTACAATTGTTAAAAACTGATTTTTATCGGTTAAACTTAAACATATAAAGTATTTTTGTTTATTTTAAATAAAACAAACACAGAAACAAATTTCATTACTTTAATAGGTCCGGCACGGCCAGGTGGTTAGGGCGCTTGACTCGCAATCTGAGGGTCGCGGGTCCGAACCCCTGTCTCACCAAACATGCTCACCCTTTCAGCCGTGAGGGCGTTATAATGTGACAGTAAATCTCACTATTCGTTGATAAAAGAGTAACCCAAGAGTTGACGGTGGTTGATGATGACTAGCTGCCTTCCCTCTAGTTTTCACTGCTAAATTAGGGACGGCTAGCGCAGATAGCCCTCGTGTAGCTTTGCGCAAAATTCAAAACCAAACCATTTTCAGCTAGTTCTTATATTTGTCACATTACTACATATTACAGATCTAGAAAGTTTTAATAGGCATTATTTGGCCTTTTTGGAGATTATATAGCAAGAATTTATAAAATAAAGTAAGGTTTATGTGTTTTTTCGATAGAATAAACCAGATATAAGTAAATAGTTTCTTTATATCATATTTCCATACCTAATTTATCTATTTCTTTACACTATCAAGAGATTTAGCATGGTCATTTCTTTAGACTATATTTCAATATAGCTAGGTTGTTTCTTTAAATCATAATGACATTTATCTAGTTTATTTTTAGACTGTAATGAAATCTAACTAATTGTCCTTACATTATGATTTGTTCTAGCTAGTTTATTTCCTTAAAGAATAATCACATTTAATTAGGTTATTTATTTAGAATGTGATGATATATATATAGAGAGAGGTTATATACTTAGAAAGTAGTCATATCTCGTTAGATTATTTCCTTAGAGTGTGAATGAATATAGCTAGATTACTTTTTTAGACAGTAATCATATATAATTAGGTTACTTCTTTTAAATGTGATGATATATAGTGAGGTTATTTCCTTAGAATGTGATTGGATCTAGCTACACTACTTCCTTTTAAATAATAATCATACCTAGTTAAGTATTTCCTTAGATATTAATCATATATTGTTATGTTATTTCCTTAGAATGCGTTGAGATCTAGTTATATTATTTACTTAGGCTATAAACATATGTAGTTCAAGTTAAATCATTTCCTTGGATAGCAATATAAATTAATTAGGTTGTTTCTTTAAATTGTGATTATATTTTGCTAGATTAACTTTACTTACTAGAATGTTGTTAACTGCAGTTATACCTCATTAGATTTTTCCTTAAAGGAAAAGTTCGGCGTGAAGTTAACTACCGTAGAAGTGATAGGCCTAATGTTTAATATATTAGAGTAAGACTAACAGTAGAAACGAAAGTAAGAAGAATAATTTATTCCGTCAAAGCGAGGTTCTAAAGTAATTGAATCAGTCTGAGTACACGTTGACAAACAGAGGATATTTTGAAGAATAAAGACCAGACGATTACGGTAACTCGCGCCACAATTGTAAGTGAATCACACACAGAATACTACTGCTATAATGATAGAGAAGGTAGTTCAGCTTATCAACTAAAATTCTAAAGCAATTGAATAGGCCTAAGTAGACTTTTGACTAGAAGAAGAGAACTATATATATATATATATATATATATAGT